CACTACACCGCGCCCCCTGTTTGTTCTCGCTATCTCTCACGTGCGTGCTCGCCTTTGCTGTTGCCGTTGTCACGCTGCCGCTCCAGCCATCACCGCGCCGTCGTCCCGCTCCTCTATGTTGTGCGGGTGTTTGTGGTGGTGGTGCCATAGGTCAGGACTCTGGGGGAGTTCGTCGAGGAGGAAGAAGAAGCCGTCTTCTCCATCTTTTGAAAGTGCAGTCGTCGTTGGCCAAAATCCTTGGCTCCTTGGCTGTGCCCACAACGGAGTAGTCCTTGAGGCCATCTATGATCATCATCGTCCTCCTCCCCTTTGATTTCTCACATCCAAGGTGAAACCCTAATCCACCATGGATTCAATTTGGGTTATCTTTTTGATCAATTTCTTATGTAGACAGAGTTGTTCTAGTTCCTTAGTGCTGGATTTGATAGTACAATGTGCTAGTTCGAGTTGATAGTTGAATCAAATTAAGGGCTCATCCGCCAGAACGCAGAGGCTCCGGGCATCTGTGTGGAGGCTCTGTGGTCTGGATGGACTGAGTGCCTTGATTTGCTTCAAAACTCAACTCAAACCTACTATGATGTTGCTATTATGTTTAAGCATTATTTCTTATTTTCTCTACGTGTTCTTTTGTTAGATGGAAGGTGATCTGGGTCGGAGAAATGAGAAGAGGTCAAAGCGCTCCAATGATCCTATCGACCACCAGATCAGAGGGATAGTTGTTCGAGAGCTTGCTGGTGGTGGTGAAGATGTTGGTCAAGGCAGTGGGCAATAGGGTAGAGGTCGAGGCAGCCAAAAAGCTCAACCTAGAAGAGGCGGTAGTAATGCTAGTCATGGCGGTGCTGGCCGTGGTGCTGGTGCTGCTGGACATGCAGAAGGACCTGTCGATGATGGAGGAAGAGAAGGGAAGACCGTACCTACAGTTGGTACGCCAGACACACCCCTTCGGTTCTTAGAGTTTGATCAGTCCTATATGGTTCAGCATCAGGGTGCCCAGTGAGGAAAGAGCCAATGATCTATGATCATGGAGTCCAAAGGCAGCATAGTAACTATCACAACTTGGGAGTGCAAGTCAAGAGAGCTAGGACAATAAATCCCTATGCTTGGCTGAATGACAGAGGGATTGATTACAGGTTTTGGTCGCTATTTTAGTTTGACTTCTACAAGACAGTGATTCTTGCCAAGGAGAAGAAGATTGTTCAGATGAAATACATAGATTTGGATCATATTGAGAGCATGAACACTCCAGACTCTAGGAGAGTGATTGAGGCAGTGACTGAGCATGGGCTGAAAGATATCATGGGTTTCCAATATGATTGGAACCAAGAGATTTTGGCTCAGTTTCACGCCACCTTCTTTCATGATGTGGCAAATGAATCCTTCCACTAGATGATAGAAGGTGTTCACTACAAGGTTGACTTCACCACTTTTGCTTGTTTGCTTGGGTTTGCTAGTGGTGATAGGTATGCGGACTGCATCCAGACACAGCCTGTCCTGAAGCCAGAGGACATTGTCTTTGCATATGAGAGGAGGGACTTAGCTAATGGCAGGACAGTGGGTTTGAAGTCGTTCTATTATGTCATGAACAACTTGTTCAGAGAGACTAACAACCCAAAAGTAGGTGACTGCACTTCATTAATAAAGTATGCCAAGAACTTGCTTGCTAGGATGGCTCCAGGTAGTGATGCTTTCTCTATCAGTAGGTTCATTTGGACTGAGTTGAGCACCTCACTAGATGATGCTAGGAATGACCTTTCCAATGCTCCTTACATCATGTACATCATTGAGAGGGTGTTAGGCATCAAGTTTAAGAAGGATGTGGAGCACATACGATACATGTTGACTTAGTGGCAGCACACAGGCTGGGAGGCACTGGTTGGGGCTACTGGCACGTTAGCTGTAGCAGGGGCTGCACCCTCAGAGAGACCTAGCAGCAGCATGCCTTCCTCTTCCCACCACAGATCTAGGGGGAGCAAGCTCAAGGAGTTGCTCAAGAACATATTTTGCATGTGTCAGTCTGCTGTGGATGCTGCCTATGAGGAAAGAAAGGATATAAATGACATGAAGAGGTAGCTGGGACTTGAGGTTAGAGAGATCCCTCCTCCTCCAGTGTTTCCACCCTATGAGGACACTAGTGAGGATGAGGAAGAGATGGAGTATCCTGATGATCAAGAGATGCTTGGTGAGAGGATGAACATCCTTAGACGTGAGAGAGGACAGTTTCGGGCCATAGAGGCACACAGCTACTACACATAGGGCCGATATGACTGTTGTGAGTGACAGTGGCGAGGAGTCCAGTGAGAGGACTGTTTTGGGCATCAGGCAGCAGACCAACCTGGCAGATGATGATGACAGTGACATTGGTAGTGACTGGAGTAGGGAGTAGTGAGACGACCATGCCTTACCTCTCTTGTTCTTTCCCTTTTTGGCACCTGTTGACAAAGGGGGAGAGAGGCAAGATTGAGATGTTTCTTTTGTGTCGTCGTCGTCTTTTGTCATGGTGGTAGTAGTAGTAGTGTACATTGTGAGTTGTGAGAGAGTCGAGGTCATTTTCGAACTCTCCTTCTATCTTAGTGGTCTGTAATATTACTTTGTATCGCCTTTGTGTGGCGATTGGTGGCCATGGACATAGATATGTGAACTTTATGTGTAATGGAATGCTAGAACTGTGGTAGAACTTCTTTATATTCATATGTTACTAGCATTCCATATCTGTGTGGTGTCTATTTATATATATGTGATGCTTTCTGTTCTGTTAAAATATTCTGAGTGTGCAGAACGCAGAGGCTCTTCGCCTAGGCCCGGAGGCTCCGTGGTCTGCAGACCCATGATATTTTCTTTTGTGCATAAACTGTCATATGCATCACGGATTATTATTTGACACACTTCTTTTGCACCCCACGATGGCATGAATGCAATGTATCTTTCACACTTGCTCTTAATATATGCAAAGTATGTCTTGAAAGGACATTTTTATAATTCCAAACAAATGTTGCATATATTAAGGGGGGGGCTTGTATTCATGCTATAAAAAGCTCAATCTTTCAATTAAATATAGGCTTTAATTGTGTTGTCAACATTTACTAAAAAGAGGGAGATTGTAAGTGCAATCAAGCTCTAAATGAGTTTTGGTGATGTTGACCACATAATTAAAGGACTAATGGCTTTGACAAGTGTTTGGCTGCATATATTTAATCGTGGATGTAAAGAAACAAAGGAGGAGACCCCTCAACTCGAATGGATGGCATGCAACAGCTCCAAGAGCTAGTTTAATTCATTTTATATTTTGAAATTGAGTCATAGGACAAGCCGAACTATTAAGGGGGATACTAATGGTGTGCTGGGTGAAACCAAGTGCTCAAAACTCCATCTACATCTCAAATAATCCTAGCCACAAAAGCCAGCCGAGCTGAATTCTTTTCTGCTCTAGCCTGCGCGGAACCTCCGCGCTCTGGCGCGGAGCGGTCATCTTCTCCATTCCTTCATTCCTGACGAACAGAAGCGCTCTCTCTCTCCCAAGCTTGGTGCTGTAAACTCCTTTGCTCAGATCTTTGTGACCACTTGAGGATTTGACCCTAGAGAGTGTGAGAAAGCTCGAGAAGATCATTCTTTTCTGTTCTTGTGCACTTGGTGAAGCCCTAGCCGCTTGGTATGTTCGTTACTCTTGGAACTTGGTTCATAGACGGTTAGCGGTCGCCCGGTAGCTCCCAATCCGATGTGATTGAGCATCAGGACATTTGTATTACCCCTTTGTGACTTAGTGGAACCCTCCAATCTATTGCCTTGGTGATAGGTTGGAGAAGAGGAGCGAGTTGAAAGAGACTCCCTAGCCTTTTGTGGCTAACCTCAACAACATGAACGTAGAGAAGTCTTTGTGGCGAGTTAAACCACGGGATAAATCCTCGTGTCCTCTGTGATTGCTGTTGTTGTTGCTATTACTTGTTATTTGAATTGATTTTTAGGGTTTGCATCCGATCTACGAATCCCTCATCCTCTAGGTGGAACCGACTGTTTGGATAGCTCAACACACTCCCCAGGAAGGCTGGTATTACATTCGATCTATTTTTCATTCGTTAAATTCCATAGTAGATCGATTTCTTACTCTGATCCCGGGAGGCTCCACGCTTAGTCCCGGAACCTCCGCGCCCCAGAACCTCCACGCTCAGGCCCGGTTTCATATTTACCCCCCTCTAGGCCACTTGCCAGATCCTTTCATATAGGCAAGTGACAATTTACAAGCGACCCCTCGGTGGGTGTGGGTTTTGCATGCCACTCCAATGGCGCTAGTTGGGTCTCTTCCAGGGAACTTGTCCCATATGAATGTGGCATGTCCCAACATCATAAATTTTTCTCTTATTTTTTGTTATAAATTTTGTCAAATTTGGAATAATTTGACTTTAAATTTATTATATTACAGGATAGATGGAGTAGATAGTATGATGATATAGCTTGTAGACATATGTAGCCACTGGTTCCACGAATGTAAAGTATTTAGGTGTTTGTCCTAAGTTAAACTATCTTAAATTTGATAAAGTTTATAGGAAAATACAATAATACTTAAGAATTTAAATGAGCATCGTTGACCTCTTATATGAAATATGCTTTCATAGTTTACTTCTAGGATGTGGTAGATGTCAATGCTTTCGTTTATGAACTTGGTAAAATTTAGAATATTTTAACTTAAAAACAAACTCCGAAATACTTATATATAAAGTACTGATCTAAATTTCATGATCACTGACAATTGCCAGAAGCCAAATCAAACCAGAACCACGTTTGTGCACAGCACGATTCACGGAGAGAAGCCGACCGACGTGGCAAAAGTTCAGAGCCAAAATCACAAATATATTAGTCCGTTCGCTCGTTAATTTTAGTCAGGATTTATCAATCAGCCAACGGTATTTTCTTCGAACAACAAACTAGCACCGGTCGGGACCGGCGAACAAAGCCATTAAGCATATACGCCGGGCAAAATCCATCTTAAGCACGTAGCTTCAGTACGTTCACATGATGTGGCAACCTGCTGGCTGTTCCTCGCATAGAAACATTGGCGTCGGCGGCAGCCCGCGGTAATAACCACCGGAGTACGGCGGCGGGTACGCCCCCCAGAGCTTCTTGAACTCTTCCTCCGCCTTCTTCTTGGCTTCTTCCTCCTTCTTCTTCTTCTCCTCCTCCTCCTTCTTCTTGTCCTTGACTTCCTCCACCACAACGATGTCGGCGCGGCAGACCTTCTTGCGCAGGCGGTTGATCAGGCAGGGGATGTCGATGCTTTCTCCTACCACCTCCAGCCGGTCCTTGGCTTCGCCGGTGATCGCCACCGAGTTCACTCCTGCATATACATCATACATCGAGGCACGCGGTGGTAAGTACTCATATGCAGAAGCGTGTATTCAGGGATACGTGGACGGATCCCGCACACCGGCCGCACACGACGATCAAGATAATAGCTAGCTTAGCTAGTGTGATGGATGTGTACCGACAGATTTGGATGCCAGCTGCATGGCTTTAGACCGGTTCTTGGTGTTCGGTTCGCCCAGCCTGATCACAGCCTTTTGCTGCAACAACAACGACGAGCCCAAGTTAGCATCAGTTTCTTTTGGCAGGGCACTCCATTCGTGTAAAAAAGATTATAATTCTAAATTTATTAAACCAAGCTATTTTTTTATTTAACTAAATTTATAAAAAATAATATTAATTTTATGTGTTCAAATATTTTTACTACAAAATACACTTCATGATTAGTTGAATTATACCTATTTACTGTAGTTTCATAAATGTTAGTATTATGTTATAAATTTGGTCAGATCTAAAATTGTTTGACTTCTTAAAAAATAAGAATTGTATTTTCTTTAACATATATGGGAGCACATGCATGGCGAATCAAAGTAAAGAGCAAAACAGAAGACCTTGGCGCCACTACCTTGGACATCGCGTCGCCTGTCTCCCACAGCCGATTTACGTGCTCCGAATGATGATGAGAAAGAAAGGAAGAAAGAAACTGTGACGGTGGCTACGCTGATCGATCGGCTATATATATGTTTTTGCGCTGCAGGTGCAACTACAGAGACCAAGAGGAGCCTACTAGAGCCTTGGTTGTGAATGAGCAAAGCTACGTTCTCGGGGCTCGTTCATTTATACACACGCGCGAGCGGGCAAAATGCCAAAATGTGGTGACGGAGAGACGATGACCGAACTGCAAATTAAAAGGCGGCTAATTGATGAGATACTAGTTAGGCCAGTCTAAATGCAAGGTTTCATGTCCTGTTTCCAAGACATGAAACTATGGCCTTGTTTAGATTGCCTCAAAATTCTAAGTTTTTTCACTCTCTCTCCATCACATCAATTTTTGGACGTATGCATGGAGCATTAAATGTAGTTAAAAAAAATAACTAATTACACAGTTTGGTTGTAAATCACAAGACGAATCTTTTGAGCCTAGTTAGTCCATGATCGGACAAAATTTGTCAAATACAAACGAAACGTGCTACAGTGTCCAGATTATAAAAATTTGCAATCTAAACAAGGCCTATGTATGAAACGGGCTCCCTCAATGTGCAGTTTCATTTCACTGTTTCTTAGGCTAGCTTTAGCATTTAATTCTTGCAACGAGTTGTGATCAAATGTGCCATATAACTATATAGCCATTTGATTTGATGTTGTTTAACTAGCTTTACCATTTGATTTGATCCTGGTCGAAAATTGGGGAAAAAAACTAACGTGGACCATGAAAGAAGATATAAACCTTGCAGGTTTGCATCAAGCTTCTATCAAACTAACATGTACAGCAAATAAAATAGGATACAGACTAAACTGAAATGAACAGGAAAGAATATATGACTGAAGGTGTCTATTGTCTATCGTTGAAACTGACTGAGATCTAAAAAATTAGAATGTAACGAAGATTAATAATCTGAGGGATCTGAATGACAAGATCTAGCATATGCAGGCATGAATCACACAAGCATATGCAGACATGAATCCATCTGCAGACATGAATCACATTCAGTTTCCACATCTCAACACACTTTGTAACAGGAAAAGTGCATATCTGTTGCATCAGGTAACTATCTACTTGCAGTTCAAGCTATCTACCACTGCTGCATCATGTAACTATCTACTTGTTCAAGTACAGATCAAAATTTAGAGATGATACAAATCACTTGTATTCAGTTCAAGCACTTGCAGGCATCAAAATCAAATACTTCCAGGAGAGGAAATCAACTGCGTGCACAGATCGAAAACAACTACTTGCATAGAACGAAATCAACTACTTGAGATGGAAAATTTGGGGGTATGGTTCCCCATTCTGCTCCTTGGCTGTGGCGGCATAGTCGACGTCGGCGCAGCAGAGGACGAAATCAGCACAGCAGGGGTGGGAACAGCAAGAGAGGAAGATGGCACAGCCTGCCGCTGAACCGGTGGCGGCGCTGGGAGGGACGTCGGCGGCGGCGGCGCTGACGGCGCAGGCGAGGACGCCATCTTCAGTCCCCCGCGCCCTTTCCTCTCCAGGGTGGGCGCTGCTCGGAATCCTTAGACGACGGTGGATCCATGGCACCGGACCTCTGCCATTGTTGCACGGGAGCAGGAAGAAAAGAACGGTGCGAGCAGGAAGGAATGGCGGGAGGATTGGGGCAGGGCGCGGGAGAGATGGCGAAGGTGGCGGGATGGATTGGGGCGGGGGACGCGGGAAGGATGGCCAGGCGGCGCGCGCACGGGATGGAAGACGATGAAACATTCCGCCTCAACGCTCGTTTCCTGCGCTTTCCAACGACTTGGAAACGGCGCTGGCTCGTTTCGTGGCCACAAAACGAATGCCTTCTCTCTCCTCCCCATTTCATGCAAAGATTTCATTTTTGTTGATGTGTCACCTCATTTAATGCGCATGAAACCCCCATAAAATGCCCATTGAGACTGGTCTTATAACCGTAGAAGAAAAGGGAGGACCATACGTATATCGGTGTAAGAACGTTCGTGGTACTCCGGTTACCTACGACGAGTCTACCACAACAACGAGCTACTTCGGCGATCCAAGGTCGTACTACGACCGACGGGTACAGAGAACTGGCTAGAGGAGAGACCACGTATCGATCCGAGGAGGCAGGAGCCGAGCCGAGCCGAGCCAACGGTGTGTTTTGTCTCCATCTTGCTAGACAAAGTTGAGCGCGGCTGTCGCTTCTCTCCGAGGGCAACATCAGCACGGTCAAGCACGGCGACCACGGAGTACATCTTCCCTTCCAGATCGTTGGACTACTGGCTTGTAGTCTACTGCAACTACAAGCCAACGACTGACTTAACTGACGTACAGCCGCGCGCGCAGTTCACATCAAGCACGCGCGATCCGGATAAACGGACAAAGATTTACCGTATTTTCCACATAATGCCGTGAGTTCATCACCAAGCCGAAGGTGCGTAGAACCAGGAATTTGCTTCAATCAAACGTATCAAAATGTCTTCTCATAGACACTGTGCCAGCTAGAGTCTCACCACCGGATATAGGAGCTTTGCCGAGTGCTCCAAAACACTCGGCAAACCGTTTACCAAGTGTTACACTCGATAAACGACACTCGACAACTGGTTTATCGACAAACGCTGTTTTGCCGAGTGTTTTTCGTCGGGCACTCAGCGAAGACTTTGCCGAGTGCCCCAAAAACACTCGGCAAACATTTTTTGAAAAAAATAAAAAAAGCATCTGCCACCGGAGGAAGAAAGGGCGCCGCCGGATCCGGCCACCCCGCTCGCACCGGCGCTGGCCCGCCACCGCCGCCACCGGATCCAGCCTCCCCGCGCCGCGCCACCACCAGAGGGAGAGAGAAGAGAGGGTGCCGCCGGAGGAAGAAAGGGCGCCGCCGGATCCGGCCATCCCGCTCGCGCCGCCACCGGATCGAGAAAGGGCGTCGCCGGATCACACTGGCAGGAGCACGCAGGCAGCAGCACGCTGCGGAGATGGGGCAATTGAATAAGATGGCCATGTACCACATATACTTATATACCCATATGCGATTGAACAAGCAACGTTTCAAAGATGTGTATACTAACCCCAGTTCCAGCCACTTCAACGAGTTGAGTGTCCACACCCTCCTCCCCTGCTGCAAGATCAACATACCACATATTAGTAATAAGGGCAGAAGAGTATGTAGGTTTGTAACCATAACCAATATGAAAAACAAAGACAAGTCTAGTAATCTGAGAATACTTCTCTATTTCTAGATTAATATAGGCAAGAATTATTCATTTAAAACTTAGTCACGGAGAGGATGGACATAGTAAATTTATAGTTGCCTTTCAGAACAACAACAACAAAGCCTTTAAGTCCCAAACAAGTTGGAATAGGCTAGAGTTGAAACCCAGCAGAAGCAATCAAGGTTCAGGCACGTAAATAGCTATTTTTCAAGCACTCCTATCTAAGACTAAGTCTTTAAATATATTCCATCCTTTCGGTACATCAAGATAAAATTTTTATTGACTGTTAATATTCTAATAAGTGGATATCACAACTGTTGATGACAAATACATGTACAGTAAAAAGTAAGTTTGCATTTTTGTTTTCTATTATTTTGTATAGCAACTCGTCGCAATTAATTCGCAAAGGGGAACACATATATACACACACTATAAAACATTAACAAGGTTGCATTAAAAATTCACTATCATAAGCAAACCTACTCCAGCACTCTAAGAACATAGTCTGTAACAAGATTGTGTTTCTGTCTGTTGATCCCTGACTGTCCTGCACAGGTAAGCAACTAGCTTACCAGCATACACACTCACTTACTATGGCTAGAGGTAGAAGAAGAGATTGAGAACAACACGCACACACACTCAGCGCAAGCACCAGCGTTGGCCGAAGCCTTGCCCTTTGGTTTGTGGCAACTGAACTAAGTATTTCATTACCCTTAGGATGAAATATATACAACTCTAGTTGTACCTCTACCAGGTACATAGTTGTTGGCCAACTACCTACTCCTGAGTACAAGAGTACACCAACTACCTACTCCTAAGGTACAGGGTACACCAACTACCTACTCCTAAGGTACAGCATACACCAACTACTCTTAGCAGTACAAAGCTTACTTCAGCCCACTACCAAGACATGGTTTATGTAATAGCTACCAACTAATGTACTAGAGGTGGCCTATTATAATACTGCTACTGCTACAGGAACTGGTCGGCAGAGCCGATCAGTCCCCAACTCCCAACAGGGAGTGGTCGGCCGAGTCTCCAACCAAGGAGAGAATGGGGAGCAGCAGATTATGTCTAACACTGTCCTCCCACTTATGTTGTCTGGTCATTCAGAACAAAACATTATGTAGATAAACAAAATGAAATATGAGAAGTTTATATGTGAATTAGATAAGAACCTTCGTAAAGGCATCTATTTCTGGATTTGGTCTTATTCCTCTCTTCCCTTCAAGATCGCATAGCTCCTTCAAGCACTCTACACATATCGACAATGTGTGTAAGATAGATACTTTTTGAACTGACATCTAAGCCATTACATGATAACAAAACGGAGCAGTTTAAAGAAATTGTTCATTGTGCTCCTATTAGAAGCATTGGTATAGTTTTTAACAAAAAACGCAATAGATACATACCACCGTAAAAGATCTCAAAAATAAAAGGTGAGAGCTTCAAACTTGATGATAAACATGAAATGATCTTAAACTTTAACAAAAGTATATAGTGCTAGATTCTGCAATCTTAAGGGCATTATTTCACCATCAGTGATACTTGGGATAAGGAAAGGTCAAAATATCTGCATGTAGATTGTTAGATTAGATACTTGATGTAAGATGCATGAACCTCACCAAATCTGCAATTCACCGTGTCATGAAATAAAACGAAAAAAACTGAATTATCTTTGTTGGCTACCGCTTAGTTTCGTTTAATTTCTGGAAAAAGGTTAATTCTATCGCACAAGCTAGTTTATGC